TCACCGTGAGAGCATATATGTTTGTGTAAAAAGACAAATAAAATACATGAATTAAAATTGCATTGGTGTTGAAAAGGGTGAAAAGGAGACAGATCTGAAAGGGTTTATCAGCAATGTACATCACAACAAAGACCACAGAACACCAAATGTGAATGCAGAAACTGGAAGTAAAAATGGCTTGTCTCCTGTAGGAAAGGATGAGTGCACGTATGGCTGTACACGGTGATAGATGGATCATACTAGAATCATGTCCGTTTTGAGAATCTTTGAGTGTAGGGAAGAATAGTTTATTTGGGTTCACATAGTGGACCCCCCATGGCTATGGCTATGCTACATGATCCTGTACCTTTGGTCATAGCTAACTCAATTAATGGTAGATTAGTGACCCACTGGGACCATTTAGATTCTCATTTTCTAGAATTTGAAGTCTGCGTGGAATAAACCAAAGACCAAAGATGCCTGAGGATGTCATCCTATTTGCAGTGTGTTGGAGGAAAAAGATCCATAAACTCCATCTAGTGAGAATCTCAGAGCTGCTCTTTTATTCATGAGCCTCCTGCTGTTTGAGTATCTATTACATCAGTGCTGATCAACTCTAGTATTCACCCAGTAATTCCTATTTTTTTGCTGAAGTTTTGATTTCTGTTGTTGACACCCTGATACAATATGAGCTAATACTGGTATGCTGTCAAATTGGAAATCACTGATATAGTTCAAACCTTTAAATCTATTCATAAAGAAAATGAACCCTAAAAAGTGTAAATCGGTTTATACAAGGATACTCAGCCTCTTGGAAACTAAACTGTAATTAGCACCCACACCCCCATAACACTGGCCAATGAATTTTTAGAGATAGATATTAAAATGCTGAGTTCCTGACAATGCAGCCCAAACTCCAGTGTAGAACTTTTCTTTAAAAAGTTTCCACCAGTGTTTTGCAGATACCCTGGGGGATTGCTGACCCCACTGAAAGTTCTATGACCCACTTCTTGATATTGTCTAGGATTTAGTAACCTTTTCTTCTCCTAGATACGTTTTATTTTGAGCCCTCCACCCTTCCACCACTGTAAGCTTTTCCCATTTTAACCTTAAGACATTTGAGGAATAAAAAGAGCTCCTCATCATAAACCAAATGAGTAACCCTCCCTTACAGTAAAGTCTTGTAATACTAAATAACAATTGTCTGTTTTCTCAGATAGACTCATGAGGGGAGAGGTCTAAAAATGCCCTAAAGGAGAGTGTAATACAACAAAAGGGGCAAATGAAAAGCAAACCAGGGGCATAAAAATTTTAAAAACTTGTTAGGTAAAATGATCAGAACAACAGATCCTAAACTGTGGGTTCAGGCTGAATTTATCTGGATTCTGACAACACATTGACCTTCTATCAGTTTGTTTTATTTCCTTGAAATAACATTCTCTGTTCTTTGTCAGGTCTCATTCAATTCCATCCACCTTGGCCCTGAAGGATGTCAAACTTCTAGAAAATATAGCAAGAATGTTTATGTCCATTATTTTTTCTAGATTGTGGAATCCAAACAAAAGTTGATGCTTTTAATATATGAATCCTTCATTTTCAGACAAAATGAGCAAAAGACCAACTAAATCTCTGAGAGAGCACTGACCCATTCTTAGATGCTTAAATTGTAGAAATAAACAGGATAAACACTTGTCTGCCTTGTGTCCTTCGGGAAAGAAAAGGTTGTGATTCCTGAGTAGTAAGCCAAAAGGATTTTGTAGAAAATAATGGTGTTTTATCATTGTGGTTGACTACAGACTGAATGTGTGACTGAGCCTGGTCGGCCAAATAGAACAATCTGCTTTCTAGCTACTGGTCAGAGAGAATGGTCCCAGGCTCTGCACCTTTTATTTCTCTTGGTTTAGCCTCTGGAGCAGATCACGTATTTAGTCAAGGGAATTTAAAGAGTTGGATTCAATAACTCTGACAACCCACAATAAAGGCAGTTTCTTAAATCACTCTGATTTGTGCCACTGCTCAGGTAATTAGGATCATGTGTTCATTTAATCGAGCCCTCTTTTAAAATTCCAGTTCCAGTGACAAAGTTCTTGTCCTGTTTTCTCTGTTACTATTTCAATTCCCTTAATTATCTTTGCCTTATAGACCAGGGGCTATAAACCACAACCCAGTGGTAAAATCCAGCCCACTTCTTGCTTTCGTAAAGTTTTATTAAACAATTATGCCTATTTGTTTATGAATTGTGTATGGTTACTATTATGTTAATAATGGCAGAGTTCCATAGATGTGACAGACAGTATATGGCCTGCAAAGCTGAAAGTATTATCTGGCCCATTACAGAAAAAATTTCCTGTCCTCCAACCAAAACCCTGGCTCAAGCTTTTGCAGTTGGCCCAACATCCAGCCCAGTGTCCTTATCTTTGTTCTGTGATTTGTGCATGGGATATCTATTTGAATATTTTTCTCAATTTCCTCTGCATTTTTTGTCTCAGTGAAATTTTTAATTTTTTTCAAAATTTTGGAATAATTTAAGATTTACAGAAAAGTTGCAATAATATTACAGAGCGTTCCTGTATTTTTTACATTCACTTTTCCCCTAATACATTTATCATAACTAATGAAGAAATATTGACATACTATTATTAACTACAGCCTATAATTTATTCACATTGATTTCCTTAGCCTTTGTCTAATGTTCTTTCTCTGTTCTAAGATTCCATCCAGGATACCACATTATATTTGGTCTTCACATCTCCTTCCAATCCTTTACCCTGTGATAGTTTCTCAGTCTTTCTTTATTTTTGATGATCTTGAAAGTTTTGAGGAGTACTGGTCATGCATTTTTGGAGAATGTTCTTCAATTTGGGTTTGTGTGATGTTTTTCTCATGGTTAGAAGGGGGTTAAGAGTTCCGAGCAGAAAAGTCACAAACATCAAGGTACATAAAATCAACATGACTTGTCACCATTGTTGACCTTCAGTGTCTGGCTAACATAGCGCTTTGCTTGTCAGGTTTCTTCGCTATAAAACCACTCTCCCACACTTCTCATACTGTATTCTTTAGAAGGAGGTCTCTATGCGTTGTTTTTTGCATTTTTTATCAGCCTTTCTATAGCCAAGCACTATCTTTATCTTTGGCATCTCCATATGATTCTCCAGCAAGTTTTTGCTGATGCCTGCATGGATTCATGCTTCTTTTCTGCCACCAGACACTCTGGAAAACCACACTACCATCTCTTAGGCCTCCCTCCCACCCCTCATTGTTTGTATTCTGGTGGACCTACCTACTTTCCCTATTGTCTTTCTCTGCTTTGAATTGCGTTCTTGCCAATCAAGGTCACTTGATTGTCAAGAACACAGCAGAACAGACATGATTTGGCATAGATTGAGATGTGGAAGTTGAAAGAAATGAAACAATCTGTAATTATTATTGCAACATTTAATGACATGAAGAAATCAAACGATGATTCCAAATATGGTGAGTTGGCAGTGATGGGGGGACATTAAAGTGACTTGATTTTGTAGGCACTTGGATGTATATGAGCAAAGCCTGTTGTGTTGACAGAAGTTGATTTGTAGAATTCTTGAGGATAGATAGGCTCTGGGGTACAATAATGGATATTAACAGCATATAATTATATATGAAAATAGCACATTGATGTAATTATCTATTTTCAGAAAAGGCAAAAATCTAACCACACTTACAATGCATTGGTACAGGAGAGGTCATGAGGACTCCTAAAGCAGAACATCAGGGGATGTCTCAGGAAAACATTTTAACCAATGCAAAGCTGCAGAAGGTTTACATAAGAAAAAATATAAATGAGGATAAGGTGGAGAATCTACTCAAACAAGGAACCTAGTGCTCCTGGCCAAATTAGAATATAAGATAAGCTTTGTGAAAATCATGCTGGCGGTCAAGTGAATACTTTTAAGAATTGGAGATCATTACAATTCAGGAAAGCATTTAAGCTGCTACTTAGCTGAAGGTTGGAATTAAAAGTACAGCCTGCCCTTGGATCTATTCATAGAAGCTGTAATGTTTATTAGCATGTGAGAAGCAGTCATTAAGGTGTTACTGCCTTAATTTGTATCAGGACATATAAGAAATAATTTAATTAGGATTAAACAGTTTTTCAATTTTTTAAAAAAAATTTTCATATTTAATCTCTGACCAATTTGGGATTCACTAACAATTTCTCTCTAGGTAGTTTAAGTCCATGAACTCAAACTTCTAGCATAGGGAGCATCTAAATTTTAGTGACTACATGTTTTCCTTTTTTCTGAGTGCATTTGTTAGTTTTGAGTGAATTTCAATTAAGAAAAGCAACAAATTACATTGGTGAACACTGCAGTTAAGTGCCAGTTTCTGAGGTGCAGACTCCAGCTGTGTGTTTTCTCATCTATGAAGAGGTTTAGGAGAGGAAGTTAACCTTGTTCTCCCTGTTCTTTGTAAAGTGAAGCTCTCCCCTTTGAGATAGGTGATAATTAGAACAAGGAGTGTGGCATTTAACCAAAACATTTGACTACATAATTAGATAGCCTTAGTTTTATTTAGATCGCACAAAGAAGCTGCAGGCTTCCTGAAAGCAATGGGCAGACTCCCCAAACCTCCCTTGGAGATGTTCCTCTGTAGGAGCCTTGCCTGAGAAAGGGCTCTGGAGTGGGTGCCGGCAGGGATCTGGCTCGCTGTACTGTCAGACCTTGTTTTCATCCTCTTGCTTTGTCTCTAATACATCCTGATTTTTTTTCTCCTATGAAGCACACTGTTCCCAATGGGAGCTCTGAGTGAAAAGCTAAAGCTATAATTTGCTTTAGTGAAATATAGAAAATAAATGCATAAAGTATTTCTCCAGAGGCAGGTCTGAATTCTATTGCCTTAAATATTAGAAAAAAATGATTGGTACATGTTACTTACTCATTTGATCCAATTTTACTCAAAAAGGCACATTGATACATATATTTAAATATTTTATATTAGCCATATATTCACAACCTTCACTTATTGTTATTATTTATTATTACCTTTTGCTGCCTTTTAAATCTAGACCCCTGCTGCCTTAACTTTTCAATTATTGACACATTTTGTAGCTTTGACTTCAGGGTCTGGTGTTCTCATAATTATCTGTGTCATCCATTCTTTATTGATTCAGTGATAAGGGTATTAAACTACTGGTCAGCCTTGTAAATGGCATGTTTCTTAGATCAATTGGAACTGGTCTTTCTTTGGACTTCTATGAAAACTGTACAAGACTGAAACAAAGGTAACAACTCTCAGGCCAAGTAATACACTCATTCATCATCATTTACTTAAGAATCTGGGATACAAATCATGAGATACAAACACACAGATTCAGTTTTAGAAGATTAGCTACATTTTCATTTGCATATATTTCTTTCCTCCCCACCAGTGGATTAATGATACCATAATAGATGTCTACCTAGAATAGTATTATAATGCATGGACATGGAGATGCAGCATTCGGATTCCTACTTGAAGGAACTACTTTATTGTTTCAACTACTGAGAGCTTTATCAGCCTCTTCAGAGATGGCCCTAGCTACAGAAAGCCACCTTGTCCAAGGGTGTTCCACATGCAATGACTGATGTTTGGGTGATAGGCCTTTCCAAACAAGCCATTCAGTGCTAGCTGCTAGCTGCGCTACATATAGATGTATAGCTGCACCCTGAGACATGGCAACAATTCTAACATTCCCTTAAGATATATGGCACCTGAAGGGTGACAGCAAGCCAGAAGTTGTAGCAATATTATAGGGTGGCCGAAACAATAAGTAATGATACTTACAATATAAAGAGAAAGTCAAAACTAGAATAATTTCATTCCTCTGGGGTGGTAAAATTAATGTAGCAAATATGACCTAAGCAAAAAGGACCCTAAGTCCAATAGAGTTCTAAGAGGGCAGATGACGTGAGTGAGGGCATCCCTGTAAAGAGAGTGACTTAACAGGGTGAAATAGAAATAATACGTCAACTGATAGAAAACACCAACCGACTTATTTCCTCACTACTAGAGAATCAACAATTGAAAGATGATCTTAGAAAGACCTGGAGCAGGGGCCTCCTATTTAACCCTAGAATCATCTAAAGTCTGAAACCAACACTCAAAGGTTTTCCTGCATTGAACAAGGCCTCAGGAATTCTTCTAGAATAAAAGTAGAGCAAAGAAATTTTTGAGATATACATGCTTTGGGCTTCTCTCTGATGAACAGACTAAAGTGAGATGTACTACCAGGAATGCAGAATTAAGTGATGCATGAAGATATATAACCCAGCCATCCTAGAACAGTCTTCTCTGAAGCTTGGTTGGCCCACAAGCATAGGGCAATTATCTCAGTGCATGGAGTGAGCTAAAGAGATGCAGAAATGTGGACAAAATTCCAAAATTTCACCAGAAAACAGCTTTGTAAAGGAAATAAGAATTTTTTTGTAATTTATCTAATTCATATTAATGGGGATTCTTTTGCAGAGATGTATGTTTATTGCAACAATAATGAATCATCTCATCTGAAGCTGATAAAGATAGTTTATATGAAAGTACCTGGTAAATTCAAAGAGACGTAAAATGTTACTTATCACTGACACAGTGCCTAGAACAGAAGGCAATCAATAAATGTTAATTGCATGTTGAGTAAAACTACTGGAAACATTATTATTTTTAGTAGTAGTAGTATGAAGGGATCTACTTGCTATTGTTATACATCATTTTTTACATGCAGTAATAATTAGATAGAGAAAATATACTTTGGTATGATTTCAGAGTCAACATTCCATGGATAATGTAGGCACAATCTTATTTTCTTTCTTTCTTTTTTTTTTTAGTTTTTATTTCAATTCCAGTTAGTTATCATACAAGACAATCTTACTTTTAGATAATCCTCAAAAAAGGAATGTTGTGGGGTTTTGTTTTGTTTGTTTTTTGGGGGTTTTGGGGGGCTTTTGTTTGTTTGTTTGTTTGTTGGTCTCTGTTGTAAGAAATCCAACCAAGAGTCCTAGTTTATTTTGTCATTTTATATTTTATGGAGGGCTATTGATTAAACACCTGCTCCTATAGTTGCTAAAATATAAAGGATCTCCGATCACTTATGAATTCAGAATGTCTCACTTTATGTTCTTTTCAGAGAAGATAATCTCAGATGATCAGCTATCAAACCTATCCAAAGCCCAGATGAGAGAAAGAATATTTGTGGAAACTTGACAGATTTATAGTCCATTCATTTTATCCTTAAATGAAGCTGAGCTCCCCGAGGGAAATATGCAAAGATCATACCATTTGATTTTCTTGTTTAATTACAAGGCTCTTTCACAGAAAGAATAATATTTAAAAAGTAGCAATAAAAGATATCCTCTTATGTCTTTTTTTTCTTTCATTTTTAAACACTTTTGGCTTTGGATCTGTTAGAGAATCTGATAAGAAATATGAACCTGCTCCCCAGAAAAACCTAAATATAAAAAACCGTGTATATATACAAATACTTATACCCTTACTTTCACTAGTACATAGACTCTCTGATGCTCATTCATAGAGTTTAGAGACCTACAGACAAGAAGTTGAAACTTCCCCCTAGTAAGCATCCACCCAAATTCCAGTGTTTATCTTTAAGCATCCTACTGGCTATTGGCTTCAGCTCATGTTTTATCGTTACCTTATTAGGAGTTTTATACAGGATATTGAACTTCCTCAAAGGACTTTTTATGATTTACTGAGATATTTTTCTAATTTGACCTATTAATATGGTGATTTAAATTAATAGGGTTTTCTGCTATGAGAAATTTTGGCATCCCTGAACTAAATTAACTTGGTCTTGTTCTATTTTCTGGTACACTTGGCAACTTTTTACTATAATCACTCACAATAAAAAGATCCTCTTCATCACAGTATTCATTGATATTCTGGAGGTGTGATAATATGAAACTTCAAAAACACTGCCAAGATAATATTTTGTCAAAAATCTAGCCATATCTATTTCTACATCTATATCCATATTTATATGCCTATATATCTATTCAGATACCTTTAATAAGCTAATGTGATACTGTTCCATTATTAATACCTCAGTCATTTGTACCTAAGTTCAAAATTTGGTTTAATTGTATTTTAAATATTTTCTATAATAAATACATTAGTAACTGTGTAATAAAAAGAAAAAAAGAAATAAAAGTGCTAACCTACCTCCAAAGTAGGAAGTTGATGTCAAGGCCTAATATACCCTTGCATTTTGAATATATAGATTGCACTCCAAACCTATGATCAGAATCCTCAGAATTTGTTCCTGAGCTTTGAAATCATAATACTGTCAATAAGCTGCCCTCAGTTCTCCATGATGGCTGGTCAAGTTATTGTTCAGAGCTGTACCATGATCCCCAGTGAAGATAGCAATGAATAATGATAAGAAATTTTGTTTGCAGGAAAAACACCCAAACCAAAAACACAGTCCTGCTTCTAAGTATCTTTGGAATTAAACTACACATGTTGTTGCACTTTGAAAATAATAGATACTCTAAATGTTTCAGCAGTGAGAGGCAAATGAACCACAGTCTGACAAAAGAGTTAAGTAGTTGGACATGGGCAAATGGGTTTGGGACTATAGGGGCAGATACTATAGTTAATGAACCAGCGGGAGAAAATACATATTGGTATGGAATCTTCAAAAACAGATGGGCCTCTTGTGATTGGAATTGTTCATTCATATACCCACTAAAAACAAAGAAATTAGGGTAGATCAAGAAAAGATATTGATATTATTTTGTATTCATTTACTCATTTCTTTACATATGTGTTCATTGAATATATATAAAGACACTGGTCCAGCCACTGTAAAAGTTAAAGAAAAATATTAAAAATTGTTTCTGAATGGAGAAGGAAAAGATGGCGGAGGAGTAGGGGGCCCTATTCCAACCAGTCCCTGGAATTGAGCTAGATATCTACCAGACCACTCTGAACACCCATGAAATCAGCCTGAGATATAAGAAGATTGATCTGGATCTCTACAAACAGAATATCGCAGGTGTTTGGTTTTGAATTATGAAGTGGGGAGCTGTGATTCTGGGGGCAGATATTGGAGGATAAACGGAAGGGGGGGGGAGCCGAGCCCTTGGGATCCTACAATGCCAGTGAGCAATAGCCTCTCACGCTGGGGACCGGGCACAGACTTGCAGACCGTAGTGACAGGGAAAGAACTTTAGGGCAGCCCCGCCCAGAGGGAAACCCAGAGTGGCAGAGCCGTGCATGCGAACTGGGGGCAGCTGGAGGTTTTAGAAGCACAAAGGGCAGAGACATGTCCCAACCTAGAGGGGAGGACTGGGAGGGCTGCTGAGGGGCACACAACCCAGGATGCTGCAGTTTATAGCAGCACAGACAGAAACAGAGATAGTGTGGCCTGGAGAGCTCACTGAAGAACAGACTGCAATCTCTCTGCTCTAAGGCAGAGGGTTGGAAATGATCTCTTCTGCTCTGACTCTTGGAAGAGACACGGAAAGCTGCCAGGGAAAGCCACCTGGGAGCAAAATCCCCAAAAAAACAGTTTCCACTGAGCCCATCCCCCACAGGGGGCAGGGCAACTCTGCCCAAAAAGGGTTGCCTGAGTAACAGTGCAGCAGGCCCCTCCCCCAAAAGATGGGCTGGGAAAACAAGAGGCCAGCAACCCTAAGATCCCTATAAAACAGGTGTATCTTCCTTGGGTTGTGGTCAATAATTTGGACTCTATACATTCCCTCAACCACTCCTCAACAGAATGACTAGAAAGAGTCATTCTCCTCCTAGGAGGAGATCCCAAGTAGAGGCTAAGAGTCACTCTCCTCTCCTACCCTAAAGACACAGACATAGTGAAAAGAAGGGCCATATGCATCCTTCCCCAAAATAAGAAAGACTCAGAGACTATGATTTATACCACAGATTTACAAATGGATTCAGTTAAAACCAAGACGTTGGAGATGGAATTCAGGGTAGCAATTGTGAAGACGATAGCTAGAATGGAGAAATCAATTAATGGCAACATAGAGTCTCTAAGGGCAGAAATGAAAGCTGAATTGGCAGAACTTAAAAATGTTATCAATGAGATCCAATCTAATCTAGATAATCTAACAGCTAGAGTAAGCAAGGCAGAAGAACGAATTAATGATTTAGAAGACCAATTAATAGACAAGAAGGGAAAAGAGGAGGCCAGGAAAAAGCAACTCAGAATCCATGAAAATAGAATCAGAGAAATAAGTGACACCATGAAACGTTCCAATGTCAGAATTATTGGGATCCCTGAGGGTGTAGAGAGAGAGAGAGAGAGAGAACTAAAAGATATATTTGAGCAAATCATAGCTGAGAACTTCCCTAATCTGGGGAATGAAACAAACATTCACATCCTAGAGGCAGAGAGAACCCCTTCCAAGATCAAGGAAAACAAGCCAACACCCCGGCATGTAATAGTAAAACTCACAAATCTTAGAACCAAGGAAACCATCTTAAGGGCAGTTAGGAGGAAGAGATTCCTTAAGTACAGAGGGAGAAACATCAGAATAGCATCAGACCTATCCACAGAAACTGGCAAGCCAGAAAGGGCTGGCAAGACTTATTCAGGGTACTAAACGAGAAGAACATGCAGCCAAGAATTGTTTATCTGGCAGGGCTGTCATATAAAAATAAGGGCTCCACAGGCAACATGATGACAGTAAATTCATATCTTTCAATAATCACTGTCACCGTGAACGGCCTAAATGCTCCCATAAAATGGCACAGGGTTGCAGACTGGATAAAAAGACAGGACCCATCCATATGCTGTCTACAAGAGACTCATTTTGAACCTAAAGATACACCCAGACTGAAAGTGAAGGGATGGAAATCCATCTTCCATGCCAACAGACTTCAAAAGAAACCTGGGGTAGCAATTCTTATATCAAACAAATTAGATTTTAAGCTAAAGACTGTAGTTAGAGACTCAGAAGGACATTATATCATTTTTAAAGGGTCTATCCAACAAGAAGATCTAAGAATTGTAAATATCTAAGCCCCCAACATGAGAGCAACCATCTACATAAGCCAACTGTTAACCAAAATAAAGAGTCATATTGATAACAATACATTAATTGTAGGAGACCTCAGTACTCCACTCCGAGCAATAGACAGATCATCTAAGCAGAAAACCAACAAATAAACAAGAGTTCTGAATGACACACTGGGCCAGATGGACTTCATAGATATATACAGAACATGCCACCCTAAAACGACAGAATACTCATTCTTCTCGAGCGCACAGGGAACTTTCTCCAGAACAGACCACATACTGGGTCACAAATCAGGTCTCAACTAATACCAAAAGATTTGAGATCGTTCCCTGCATATTCTCAGACCATAATGCTTTAAAACTGAAACTCAATCAAAAGAAAAAATTTGGAAGAAATTCAAACACTTGGAAGCTAAAGACCACTCTGCTCAAGAATGTTTGGGTCAACCAGGAAATCAAAGAAGAACTTAAACATTCACTGAAACCAATGAGAACGAAAACACATTGGTCCAAAACCTATGGGATACTGCAAAGGCGGTCCTAAGGGGAAAATACATAGCTATCCAAGTCTCACTCAAAAAAATAGAAAAATCCCAAATTCACCAACTTTACACCTTAAAGAACTAGAGAAAAAGCAACAAACGATGCCTAAGCCATGCATTAGAAGAGAAATAATTAAGATTAGAGCAGAGAAATCAATCAATTAGAAATCAGAAACACAGTAGTTCAGATCAACAAAACTACAAGCTGGTTCTTTGAAAGAACTAATAAGATCGATAAACCACTGTCCAGACTTATCCAAAAGAAAAGAGAAAGGACCGAAATTAATAAAATTACGAATGAAAGGGGAGCGATCATGACTAACACCAAGGAAATAGAAACAATTATTAGAAATTATTATCAACAACTATATGCCAATAAATTGAGCAACCTGGATGAAATGGATGCCTTCCTGGAAACCTATAAACTCCCAAGACTGAAACAGAAGAAACTGACAACCTGAATAGGCCAATAACCGGTAATGAAATTGAAGCAGTGATCAAAAACCTCCCAAAATACAAGAGTCTGGGGCCTGATGGATTCCCTGGGGAATTCTACCAAACTTTCAAAGAAGAAATAAATACCTTCAGGAGAATAGTCTCCTGAAGCTGTTTCAAAATATAGAAACAGAAGGAAAGCTTCCAGACTCATTCTATGAGGCAAGCATTACCTTAATCCCCAAACCAGGCAAAGACCCCATCAAAAAGGAGAATTTCAGACCGATATCCCTGATGAATATGGATTCCAAAATCCTCAACAAAATCCTAGCTAATAGGATCCAACAATACATTAAAAGGATCAACCACCACGACCAAGTGGGATTTATCCCCGGGATGCAAGGGTGGTTCAACATTCGCAAATCAATCAGTGTGATGGAACACATTAATAAGATGAGAGAGAAGAACCATATGATCCTCTCAATTGATGCAGAAAAAGCATTTGACAAAATACAGCATCCTTTCCTGATTAAAGCTCTTCAGAGTATAGAGGTAGAGGGAACATTCCTCAAGTTCAAAAAATCCATCTCTGAAAAGCCACAGCAAATATCATCCTCAATGGGGAAAAGCTGAGAGCCTTTCCCTTAAGATCAGGAACATGACAAGGATGCCCACTCTCACCACTACTGTTCAACATAGTACTAGAAGTCCTAGCAACAGCAATCAGACAACAAAAAGAAATAAAAGGTATTCAAATTGGCAAAGAAGTCAAACTCTCTCTCTTCACAGATGACATGATATTTTATGCCGAAAATCCAAAAGATTCCACCCCAAAATTACTAGAACTCATACAGCAATTCAGTAAGGTGGCAGGATACAAAATCAATGCACAGAGATCAGTTGCTTTCTTATACACTAACAACGCAACTGTAGAAAGAGAAATTAGAGAAACGATTCCATTTACAATAGCACCAAAAACCATAAGATACCTCGGAATAAACCTAACCAAAGAGGTAAAGGATCTATACTCTAGGAACTACAGAACACTCATGAAAGAAGTTGAAGAAGACACAAAAAGATGGAAAAACATTCCATGCTCATGGATTGGAAAAATAAACATTGTTAAGATGTCTAGGCTACCCAGAGCAATCTATACCTTCAATGTCATCCCAATCAAAATTCCAATGACATTTTTCAAAGTGCTGGAACAAATAATCCTAAAATTTGTATGGAATCAGAAAAGACCCCAAACTGCTAAGGAAATGTTGAAAATGAAAAACAAAGCTGGGGGCATCAACATTGCCTGATTTCAAGCTATATTACAAAGCAGTGATCACCAAGACATCATGGTACTGGCACAAAAACAGACATATAGACCAATGGAACAGAATAGATAGCCCAGAAATGGACCCTCAACTCTATGGTCAAATAGTCTTCAACAAACCAGGAAAAAATATGCAATGGACAAAAGACATTCTCTTCAATAAATGGTGCTGGGAAAACTGGACAGCTATATACAGAAGAATGAAACTCCACCATTCCCTAACACCATACACAAAGATAAACTCAAAATGGATGAAAGACCTCAATGTGAGACAGGAATCCATCAAAATCCTAGAAGAAAACATAGGCAGTAACCTCTTTGACATCGGCCACAGCAACTTCTTTCAAGATTCATCTCCAAAGGCTAGTGAAACAAAAGCAAAAATGAACTTTTGGGACTTCATCACGATAAAAAGCTTCTGCACAGGAAAGGAAACAGTCAACAAAACAGAGGCAACCCACTGAATGGGAGAAGGTATTTGCAAATGACACTACCGATAAAGGGCTGGTATCCAAGATCTATAAAGAACTTCTCAAACTCAACACCCAAAAAACAAATAATCAAGTCAAAAAATGGGCAGAAGACATGAACAGACACTTCTCCAAAGAAGACATACAAATGGCTAACAGACACATGAAAAAATGTTCATCATCCTTAGCCATCAGGGAAATTCAAATCAAAACCACATTGAGATACCACCTTACACCAGTTAGAATGGCAAAAATTGACAAGGCAAGAAACAACAAATGTTGGAGAGGTTGTGGAGAAAAGGGAACCCTCTTACATTGTTGCGGGGAATGCAAGTTGGTACAGCCACTTTGGAAAACAGTGTGGAGGTGCCTCAAAAAATTAAAAATAGAGCTACCCTATGACCCAGGAATTGTACTACTGTGTATTTACCCTACAGACACAGACGTAGTGAAAAGAAGGGCCATATGCACCCCGATGTTTATAGCAGCAATGTCCACAATAGCCAAACTGTGGAAAGAGCCGAGATGCCCTTCAACAGATGAATGGATAAAGAAGATGTGGTCCATATCTACAATGGAATATTACTCAGCCATCAGAAAGGATGAATACCCAACTTTTACATCAACATGGATGGGACTGGAGGAGATTATGCTAAGTGAAATAAGTCAAGCAGAGACAGTCAATTATCATATGGTTTCACTTATTTGTGGAACATAAGGAACAGCATGGAGGACATTAGGAGAAGGAAGGGAAAAATGAAGGGGGGCGGAATCAGAAGGAGAGACGGACCATGAGAGACTATGGACTCTGAGAAACAAACTGAGGGTTCTAGAGGGGAGGGGGGAGGGGGATGGGTTAGCCCGGTGATGGGTATTAAGGAGGGCACGTACCGCATGGAGCACTGGGTGTTACACGAAAACAATGAAGCATGGAACACTACATCAAAAACTAATGATGTACTGTATGGTGACTAACAACATAATAAAACAAAATTTAAAAAAAAATTGCTTCTGAAAACCCAAAGAATTACTCAATATCATTGTATCAAATTTCCTTCATGATCATTAATACTAATGATTTGCTTCTCTGAAAGGTCCAATTGACATATAGGATTCATTTTCTGGCTCTCTGAAACAAGACAGTTCAAATGTATGTATAGGGGAACCCATTAAATTCAGCCTTGGGCAGGAAGGACACCTTTAATTCAAAAAGCCCTAATGACTGTAGCTACAGTCTGTCTCCATTACCTTATGAGATTCCTGACACTTTTTTCTGGCTCCGGGTCATGTGTTTTTTGTGTCCTCCACCCTTGATTTCTCAAGCAAACAAGTTTCTTTCCCCTGAACAACTTGCTGCACTAGTGCTGATCCTGCCTCAAAGGCGTGGAAACTGTCTAATTCTACAAACACCTCTATAAAAAGGAACTGCAGTTGGAAAACATAATAGACCCAGTTTTTTAAGTCATCAAGTTAGCACATTCCAAAAATTGAGTAGATCCAATCAATTATGTCACTTGGGCTGACAAAAATGGCAGAATCAAGTGATTCAGATATTAATAACATCAGAATGAACTGCCATTGCTTGTTTGTGACTTTTCTTTTGACAAGTCATTTAATTGTTATGTATTGCAACCAAAAAATGTGTCATGTTAGAAAAAAAGTATTTTTCTGAACTGAACCAACACCAGTAGGGAGAATAAAATTCGACCCAGACTCTTCTCGAAAATCTGACATACCCACATGGAGCAGTTATTCTTGTTACTTCGTGTTTTGAATTTTCATTTCCCATATACCTTTTCTTTTGGATTTTGCCAACTAAGACATATTTGTCTTCTAATTTTCTTTTTAAAATATTTTAATAACAAAGTATGTGTATGCATGTGTCTCAGCAACTGAGATTATAATATAAACACATACCATGGTTTCAAATAATGTTTTTAAATGAAAAGTTTGAGACTTAAAATATATGGGAAAATTATTTGTTATGAGGGCAACACTTAACTTACTACTCCTCACCATCCCAAGCAGAGGCTAAGATGAACCCTATCTTTTCTGTATTTCTTTACCACTGCTCACAGAAAATAAGTGAGCTACCTGATAAAGGAGTGACAACTTTAATTTATATTTCTCAAATGGGTGAAGTCAGTCTATTAAAACTTCATAAGCACTGGTGCTTCAGGCTACTTTTCTCTCTTTTCATTCAGGTTCTGGGTTAATGTGTCTGTTCTGAAATCTAAATTTTCCTTCAGATGTGAGGTCCCAAGTTCTAGAAGGAGGGCACAGGAGGGATGGGGAGTAGAAAGTATCAGCAAGCCCATTTGGTGACATACGTGAGACTTGTCTGCCAACCCAGATTATATCCATAACAAAGCTAACACTTGGGGGCATCTGGGTGACTCAGTTGAGCAACTGACTCTTGATTTCAGCTCAGGTCATGATCAAGCTCTGCCTCCAGCTCCTCGTTCAGTGTGGAGTCTGCTTGTCCCTCTCTCTCTGCTCCTACTTCTGCTCACGCTCTGTCTCTCTCTCTCTCTCTCTCAAATAAATGAACAAAATAAATAAATAAGCTAACTCTTAAGTTTCCATCAGTCTGAGTATCTCTCTGTAAATTGGTTCCAAACTTGGGCAGAAAATAGGGACAACATCTATTGACTGCCTATAACCTCAATGGTCTCAAAATACTATGTTGATTATGCATTTCCTTGCCAACTGCCAACTGATGATAATGATTTTTGGTTATTTGTAGGGTCAGCTTTGTATAACTTCAGAACCACAAAAATCCATCCAGACAGGATGCAAATATTATCCACAAATAGACTGTTACTTTATTGCTTTTGGAACCCAGAGGGACCAACTTAGTTACGCAGGAATTTTTCCCTAGCTTTCTTTGTCCTGCTTATTATTGACTATTTTTGATTACTGCCTTCTCTATCATTATTAGTTATCAACATATTGCACATTTTTTTTCTGCAAAGATATCCAGAAACAGCAAAGTGAGTCTTAACTTTGGACTTATATTTTGTTTGCATTTTAAACTTTTTGATAGGATAATGTTAACATACAGCTGCTGATAAGCCCAGGTTTATCTCATAGTCTACGATATTTTTTCTTCGGTTAGAACACAGTTTGTCTGTGATGTAAATATACAAAATAAGGTATATGGAAACACTCAGCATTTTTATTCAATACCAATTTCACTGAGTGACCCTATACATGAGACACTGGCTTTAAGGTTGTTCAGCACAGAAAATATAAAGCATTTCTAATGACTAAACTAAGTTTTTACTCTACAATGATTGTTTTGCTATTTAGAGCAGGCATATCCTAATATGAGAATTTTTCTGTCACTGTTTCTGTTTGCTACTTTTTATTTTACGTTAGAGCCAAATCTTTTATGAATATGAAACGGGTTCAAGAATTGGACAATTGAGCTCAAAAGGTTCTGTGAACTGCTTTCCTCAAACTTATTTTCCTGACCAAAAAAAAAAACAAACACACAATTTATATCTAAAAGAAATCTCCATTTGCTCTCACAAACTGACCATGCAAGGTTAAGCCTGATGAATAAATATAGAAAAACATAGGATGAAATCAGCTATTCAGACTTAAAGTGTTAGCAGCAGTATATAGCATGTTAGGAAATAGGAAAGAGTTATAAAAGGTTTTTTCAGGGAGGGTAGGTAACAGAATAAGTCTTTTGTTTTATAAAATTGCTTATTTTAAGGAAAATTCTAGCACAATCCATAAGCTACATTGTTAAAATGGGTAAACAATATTCCTAATATTCTCTGTGATAGATACCTGCCAACTCTGTCATAACTCGAAGGATAGTTAAATAGATACTCAAAGGTAGATAAATAGGTAGAAATTTTTATAGGTATCACTCTCTATATGCTATTTTGATAAATAGTATTTATTATAATTTTAGTGAAATTTAACAGAAGAAAAAACTGTAGCAAATCTGAGGTAAAACTGATTCAATGATTTATTTTTTTCAACTTGTCTTCACTCAAGAGTGAAAACTGAGAGGATTTTGCAATGGGTTGAGGGTTGCATATGTGAGAAAAATGAAAAAGGAATGTTAAAATCTTCATAATTCTGATTTGAACAGTATGGGTAAAGACACCATTTACAAGTCAGGAAAAATGGGAAAAGTAGTATTGTTTGCAAAGTCCTACCAGACTTTGGAACATATGAGTTCCTCTGTATATATGTTAAATTTGTGATGCCCATTGGATAGAAAAGTGAGATGTGAGGCAGGCAGCTGTATATATGGATTTAGTACTCAGTAGAGTGGTTATAATTTATAGACATAAGATCAAGAATCTTCATTAATATGATACATCTTAATCGGTTTGGACTGCTATCACAGAATATCTTATCCTGGGTGCCTTATAACAACAAACTTTTTCTCACAGTTCTGGATGCTGAAAAGTCCAAGATCAAGACATTGGGAGACAGCATCTGTTGGAACCCACTTCCCGTTTCATAGACATCTGTCTTTTCACTTTGTCCTCACATGATGGAAAGAGTGAGAGCTCTCTGGGCTTCCTTTTATCAGGGCATTAATTCCATTCATTAGTGCTTCACCCTCAAGACACAATCACTCCTCAAAGGACCCACCTCCTCATACCATCACACTGGGAGTTGGTCAACATATGAATCTGAGGGAACAAACATTTAGTCCATAACATAATCTGAATATAGTATTTAAATGCATAGAACTACATATCATCCAGAGAGCATGCATAGAAAAGAAAAAAAAAGTAGGTAAATATTTATGGAATATTTATTATAACTTAAGTACTGTTTAAAACACTTTACTTGCATTAACTCACTAAATCCTCATAGTAACAGTATATAGTATGTTCCTCTTATCATTCCAGTTTTAATAATGAACACTCTGAGGCAAAGAGAAGTAACATGCCCAGGGGCACAGAGATAATTAATCACATTTGTGGAATAAAGAAAATTAAAGAGTAGAGAAGAAAAGGGGTAAGGAGAGAAGGAAAGGAAGGAGAGGAAAGAAGTTGGTGGGGGCAGGGAGGGAAGTTGAAGAGTGACACTAGAAATGGGGACACTTAAATACATTACATAATTTTCTTCAGAAAGTAAGTTATCAAAAGTCACCAGAGGAATGTAGTATGATTTCCAAACAATACTGACTTTGCAGTTTGCAGTCATGATTTTAGAGTGAAACCAGTTGTGTTACTTTCTCCTTCAGAGTCCAGCTTCTCTATTATAGGTTCAAAAAAGACAATTTGGGTAAAAGATGTTGGGAATTGACCAAGCAAGTAGGACAGAAGTACACACACCAATTTTGCTTTTATAGCATCAATTTTACTTTTAATAATAATGGAATCTAAGTCAGTAAGGAAGACAGAAAAGAGAGATGTCAAGCATGTTGTATGATTCAGTTGTAGTGGTATTAAACACACACACACAAGGTCAGGTCTTGAGGAGAAGAAGGAAAAATAAATATTTTTGTCTACATACTCTCCCACATTCCATAGTTTTCTAATACATTCAAGTCATTGGATAATTACACTTATCCACACACTTCTCTTGTGTATTTAGGGGGACAAAAAGGAGGCTTGTTTAAAAAAAAAAAAAGACAAGAGGAGGAATCTGGGTCAGTTGAAACTTGGGAAAGGATTTAATAAATGAATTTGGGACAAAGGGGAAAAATTTCTTTTTATCCTTTGTACCTTTTCCATTTCAACCACTGTAAGCAGTTTTTGTTTACTCTTCTAGTCTTCATAATATGAAATTTCACTTTATCAAAGTATAATTTCTTTATGGTATGCAAATTGAGCATCAACAATAAAGTGTTGCCGGAAGGATGCATCTTCTATCCATACATGGTTACTATGGTGGGTCAATGGAGTCAAAAACAGGCAAAAGGATTTTACATAAATTGAGCACAGTAGAATATATACTTTAATGTGAAAAAAGAAATTCCTTTGTATATTGAATGCTCATAATTCTTTTCTAAAATATA